TGGAAAAGCGGCTTATCAGTAGGTTTCAGGAAATCCTCAAGTGTTTCTTTCATTGCCCAACAATGTCCCGCATTGAGATCCTCTTCATTTGACGATATGCAAGAATATCTCTGAGGCTAAACATGTCCACCAGCGGGTTCTTGGCACCAATGGCCTTCTGGCCACAACTTCAAGCACCTTCCAGACATCAATTGCAGATGATATAATACAACTACAAAGTCTATATTATCAGGCTTAAAATCTAGGCACAAAGATGCAGCTCTCTCGTTCTCGGGGGGGGTGGGGGGTTCTCCTGCCAGGGGCGTTACCATACACAAACTTGCCCAGCACTTCTCACCCTGGGCCACACAAGTGTAGTGAACCAACCAGTGGACACTAATTATTTTATGCAGAAAGGTCTCCACATAAGAGAACTGGGGGTTGAATTATCACCTGTCAAGCAGACAGCCTGACTCCAGGCCCCCCCAAAACCCAAAAGAGGAGAGGGGTGAAAGGTCTGCTACATGAAACACTTGTTTCCACTGGTTGGGAAATTTCACCCACAACCACCATCTCCAGTGAATTTAAGATGACTGACTCTACTCGTGACTGTTAAAATGACAATTTAACCTTGTCCAGAGACGTAACTTCACCCTGAACCAGGCTGTCAGGACCTCTAAAATGGACAGAGGCCACACACACCCCCCAAGGCCATCCACTCCCCTTTTCGAACTGATGTGCTAACAGATAAGATCAACAGGTGTGTAAATTGACTGGCTCAGAAAAGGGGACACTAACCCAATTCAAACCATGTGAATAAAGAATGTTCTAATGGCTTTGCCTTATAAACTTGTTACTCTGTTCAGATGAATAATCTTTTTTACTTTAGGTAGTGGCCTCTCCTCTTCAATTTTGAGTAGTTTATTACCATGTCATTGTTTAGGAACTATGTTGAAAAGCTAAAAGAATCAAAAGGTTGATATTGTGGAAAGATAGGTGATTAAAATGCGCGCAAATAGACTTTAAGACACTATTAAAGAGCCGTGCCGTGAGCTCTGTCTTCTCTCTTGCTCTTCGGCCTTTCAAGAAGTCTAGCCCGGAGAATATCCGCGACTTCTATGTTTTCCTTTGGCTTATAGCAACTTAATTAGCCATATTCACAAGGTCCAGCAAACTTTCGGTGAATTTACCTTTTTGTTTAAAGTTATCAGGCTTTTAATTTACGCAACTTTTAATTCAGAAAGCAAGCATGTGTCTTTTAAAAGCTTTGAGTTCGGTTTGTATTAATTTTCACTACTCCCAATGACAAAAAAAGTTTGGAGGTCAACCAAGTGAGTAGGTTACGCCACAGTAGCTTAACCGAGAAAGGATAAACACCACCCCAGCAAGCCACTGCAGAGTTCCAGCTACCAGCCGAGGAGGACAGACCCCTGGGACAAACCCGCTAGCAAAAGACCCGTTCCTAGCGACCGGCCATACAGCGTACCAAGCAAGCCGCCGAGGGGCCGTGAACACCAAGAACCGAGCAAACCAACAAAGCAGTAGGGCAAAACAAACTCTGGCCAGGTTGATGTCCGCTTTGTCCTTTAGTCCTGAAACACTAACTCAATTTAACTCAGTTATCACTATGGATGGAGATTGTTCATTTTTATTGATAATGATATACTTATTGGGACTGCTACTATCGATACAAAACGGGCATGAGGTAGGCTTGTACAGTATGAAGAAAATATTCAAAGTGCGATAACATTGTTATATATTGAGATGACATATGGCTTGCAATAAATAAACATATATTGAAGTGTGCATATTAGCTGCCTGGTTGTTTTTAAATTAATTATAGGATTAGAATTTGATATTTTAAATGCAGCTAAATGTTTCTAGAGCAGCAACATTAATGTTTACAACAGCAAAGTCACTATATAAACTCAATATCTGACATCACAATACTGAGTGACGTTTAGAAGGAATATCAGACCTTCCTCCTCCTCTCTGCCGTTATTCACTGCCTTACCTGGTAGAAGGAGCAACTGGTTTGTCTCAGCCAGCAGCTGAGTTTTTAACAATGTGCCAAATACAGACCAGTCTATGCTACAGACAGAACGCTTTCTGTTTGTTTGTAATATTTGGATAATTGCTAAGCTAACGTTAGCTGTGCCTGTATAAAACACACAGGATGACAGACTAAGATGATTGAATTAACCCTTACTACATGTTTACCTTACAGACAGGTGTATTGATTGAAGTATTGTCTTTTTAACTCGCGAAGGTTTTCTTGCACATACTTGCAGTAACAAGCATAGCTGTCAACTCAGTAGTTTGAAGCTAACTTAACTTCACCATCTCCACCACGACCGCGCAGCGTCTCTCTCTGCTGGCCGCTGTGTGTGTGTGTGTGTGTGTGTGTGTGTGTGTGTGTGTGTGTGTGAGGACGGAGCAGCAAAGGCTGCAGCCTGATTATGAACAGTCCCGGGCCCGTTTAATACCGCGTTTCGGTGCCATCGTTAGAAACATTAGTTTTCTTATCATTCACGTTTCAAATTCGATTTGACCCTCGAGACATAACGTTACATTATAGGACCCGCTAGTCTCGACAGCAGTATCAATAAGCTCGGACCTTATTTTTTGTTTTTTGAGAAATTTTGGAACCGGGACCTATCAGAACCATGTCTTGATCCCCATCACTTATCAGATCACTTGGGTCCATTTGTTCCCTCATCCCTTTAGAATCATATTTTTCCACAATGGCAAACTGAATACACATTGATCCTATTAGCCTAGGCCTAATGTTACTTCTGCTCTATATCATGTTGATTGCATTCTGGTTGTTTTCTGTTTTTGTTGTTTATTTCGTGATTATTATTTACTCTCACTTTGTATTCACTATAGTTGGCTAATAAATTTCCAGCGTCCAGGTCACTGTACAGAGAATTCACCCTTAGATCTGAGACTGACTGTTTAAACTAACTTATTTAAAATAATTGAACAATTACAAACTTACTGATCACTTACAATAATTGTGTAATTATTAGCTATACCGAAGGAGTCCTGACAGCCTTGGGCGACAGCTAAAGATTCAGGTGTTGCCCCCTTTACAAGGGCTTATGAATCTTTCCATCTTTTCTGTTTTCTAAGGGACATCTACATCCCACAGTTATAATATAAATCCGACATGCATGGCTGCACACACTATGGATGAAACTCACATACAGTATGTACACAAACATCCTTTTGCACACACATACAAAAATTGTAGACAAAGCACTGATGCATGCCTAAAAGTATCATCGATGTAATGTTTCAATGTAGACTGACATCTTCCAGGAATTTCCTGTCCTGCGATTTGGCCTGACAGGGAGAGAGATGATGGGGGAGGCATCTGGAACAAGCTGCTTATATAATAGCGGAGTAGTCTATTCCCTACCCAGCCTGCTTCTTTTTTTTTTTTGTGCAATTATTTGTTATGTGTTTATTTGCATGTGGATCTCTTTTATTCTAACTATGCCACATGTGGGGACAATGTTTGCTATGTAAAGGCAGATTATTATAACTTGCCTAACCCAGTTATTCAAAAATGTTATGTCCCCATTTTTGGTTTCATTACATTCAGCACAAATGAAATGTTTTGTCTTCTTTGGGGATGGAACAGTGGCTCAGTGGAAGCGGTGTTGTGACCTAACACCAAGAAGACTTGCATGTTTATTGGTAACGCAACTGTTCACCAAAGCAAATGCCTTGTATGTGTAAAAACTATTTGGCACTAAAGTTGTTTCTGCTTTTGCTGTTATCCCACTGTATGAATTGGTTTTCTCCAGGTGCTCTGGTTTCTTACCCCAGTTGTAAGACATGCAGGTTAGGTGAACTGGAGATTCTAAATTGATTGTAGGTGTGACTATGAGTTTTAATGGGTTTATCTATATCTGTTAGTCATGTGATAGACTGGCATACTCTCTAAGGTGTCCAACCCAATGCATGCTGGAATAGGCTTAAGCAACCTCAAAACCCTGAACGGGATATGCAGTTTGGAAATTGGATGAATAGATCAATGTTTTCATTGACATTAAGTTAAAGTATGTTTCAGCTATAAGTTAAGATAAAGCACAAGCCTCAAGGAAATGCATATAATTCAAAGCAATATCCTCTTAAGTGACCTAACACTGCATGCATTGCATGTGCTTCTTTCAGTCTGCCACATCCATATGACTTTTGTGTCCGTCTGAACTTAGTTACAAATTTGGCAAAAGGTAACTCTGAATGATGAGACAACACCAAGGTCGAAGCCACTTTCAATTTCCCCCACATTCCAATAGTATTATCTTGAAGCCCTGTCACAGTCATGAGTGAAAAATGTTGTCAGCTGTCTGACATAATCATTTATAATATAAATGTCACAGCGGAGGTTGGGATGAGCAGTCATTGAATTCAAATGGCTGTCAAGTCATAGAATAAATCACATGCACTGACAAAAGGTCAGGGGTTTCAGGAGATTTTTATTTAATTATTTACTTTCAACCTAGAAATAAATCCACAAAATCCTTGGGCATTGGATGTCCTTTAGGGGTATGCTCAGTAAGGCGGCAGTGATTGATGAGATTCCTCTAGATGCAAATGTGAGTTTAATCACATTTGCTTTGATTTGTTTCGTGGTTGTTTTTTTTTGTTTGTTTTTTTCTCTCTCTATACTGTATGCTTGGTACTCAGTGTCATAAAGCATGACCTATGACCATGAATATTTATCAGTGGGGGAAAAAAAATAAAGACATAAACAGTGAGCACTGATTAATAGGTAGGAGCTGATTTGTACCTGATGAACCTTTTTAAAACAAGTCTGTAGAGTGCCTGATTGACAGCCAAGATTATATAACATAGGATAACACATTTCTGCTGAAAGTCATAGAAAGTTGATTGAGCGTGCTTGCTCTTCTACCAACTTTACATTCATCTAAATTCACATTCACACCTGCTACCAGTACAGCCATAGCTTTCTACTGTTGATGTGAAGTGAGTAGTTAGGGATTTGTGCCTCACTTAAGGAGAAACAGTAGAGGTGATGGTGTCTCATTTTAGCAACCCAAATTTGTTTTTACAGCCAATCCATAATTTTGCAATGGCAAATTTAACATTCATAAACTCAATTCTCTAACTTCATCCAAAACACTGAATTAACAAAACAACTTGTAACTTTCTAGATAAAAGGCACAGTCATTTAAAGCTAAGATGGATGGATGGATGGATGGATGGATGGATGGATGGATGGATGCAGCCTTAAAATAAATGTCTCTGAAAAACTCAGTGAATTCAGCAGTCCACCTTCTTGCTGTGGCTGGGGTTCAGCTGTGTTTAGTGAGTGGAAGAGAGTCAACACATTAAAATGACTACACATCAGCTGGACTGAAACAGGTAACTTCATTGTATGTGAAAACAACATTATTTAAACAAACACTATGTTGTAATTTAATCTTTCCAATAGCTGGGTGTCATCTCTGTCATTACCACTCCAGGCTCACTGCACCAGGTACTGCGGAATCCCTGGCAGGACATTTATCAAGACAACGGCGTGATGCTTTACAGGGCCAACACAACTCTTCAGCAAGTAAGCCATAAGAAATTCAAAAACTATATAATGTACAAGTTCTGCAGAAGAAGCTCACTTGGTATTCTCAGTATGGATATCATGGCAGATGCTGCAAAGAGACTGAAGAAGACTTTGTCGGAGGAAGCGGGGAAGAGAAAAAGAACAGACAAGAGTAAATATTCTGTGGCAAGCTAGCCAGCAACTAACGCAACAGCACTTACAGTAACTTTACTAATGTCTGTGTGTATGTGTGTGTTATTAAGTAAGTTTGAGATTTATAGCTAGTGGCAAGTAACCAAACAACATTATGTAACATTGTTAGGTAGAGATGCAAAATCTCACAAAAAAGCTAATCTTACAATATGTTGTTTTAATTGTTGTGGCCAGTCAGTATATCGTACAATGGCTGCTTACAGTCTTGTTTAAATATATAGTACTCCATGTTCATATATCTTATTTGTATTGGAATATGGTTAAACACAAACGGTGACACATTTACATGTTTGGCCTATCTACACACATTCAGAGAAGTTAATCGGGCTGTCAGGTTAAATCATTTAAAATAAACACACATATAACATTCCATGACTAAACATAAACAACACAGTGGTGAGATGTCATCAGTGTAACGCTAGTAGTCCAACCGCCACACATTTCAGCCTTATTTAACTGCTGCACTTGATGCCACCTGTATTATTCTATGCAATTCTATTTTCTCAATACTCAACAAAGGCCTGCTCCTCTTTGCAAACCATCAGCTTATATCCTGTAAATACTGCAAACAGTCTCTGTTTTAACAATGACCTATTCTTCTATCTAGTGTATGTGACGATTATCTTCTGTTCACCATGTCATACACCCCACTACATTGAGTAATGACTTGATCATTTGACTGTAGGCAATTGAACAGTTAGTTACATTGTACAGTATGTCGATTGATGTGATGTCAAACAGCATCATTTCAGACTTCAGTTAGGCACAACTGCGGAATCAAGAACTTGTTGTTCGTTCTTAAGCTTCCTGCCTTCCACAGAGCAAGGGAAATGATGCAAAACTCATTGAAATGTTACATCGCTCTCCCTTTTATATCTTCGCCTTCCCGTTTCCCCCATGAGACATGGTAATGGTGGTCCCTAAGGTGCAGGCTGACAGACACTGCATTTTAATCTTTCCTGCATTGTATTCTTCTTTTGTCACATCTACTTAGCCTCTCTAGGGGAGTCTTAAGATAGATAGATTTTCCTTTTGATTTTTTTTAACCAGTTCTAGTTTCAGAAGTTGGCCAGATCCACTTTGCAAAGCGACCCTTTGGCTTACTAACAAAACATGTCTGCAAACTGCCTCTGTTTTACCAGTGACGTTTGGGACATTTGATACAATTTAAACCATTTCCTGCTTAATAGCTTTTATGCACATGGTAAATAAAACTGGGTCATCAAACAGTAACCTATTCCTGAGAAAAAAACCTCCATCTTAGTAAGATCTACCAAAATATTAAATGTGGAATACATCAGCATTAAAGAGTAACTGTCGTGAGCTCCTGCTTACAGACATTTACCACCTTCTAAATGGCTCTTTCAAAGGTGCAGTTAATGCTGGTAAATGTTCTGGTTATAAAAAAAAAATCATGAATTTATCTTAGGAAAATGTTTTAGTCACATGAAATGAAGCAAAGCCACTTCACTGGTTCTGTGTCACAAGATAAATTGTTAGTCAGGGTGGTGTCATCATTCCATGTACAAGCACTATTGATTTTGATAGCTTATCCAGTAATTAAACTAACACTTTGAAGGACTGAAAATGAGAAAAATGTGATACTGTATACTTAAGTAATCACCAGCGTGACTACCGCATAAGAAGCAACACTGCAGCTGACATGTTGCACAAAAGCAGTACCATGCTTGTCAGCTGCAAAGAAGACCATTTGGGTTAGAGATGCTGCCATTTAATTTGCTTAAACGCCTTTTCATCCTTGTGTTTATGACATTGCCATTTGTGCACCAGGTGGCTGTCAAGCTACACTTTACTCCTCTCTATTTGCCTGATTTATCTCTGATGCTGAGGAGGAGGACAGTGAAGTGGGGACATGAAGGCAGTGCGCTTTTATTTCTCACACAAACATTCTGCTGACTCTCCCGAGTGTGATTGATGCTTTTAAAAAAGCCAGTGATTACACTAGGACTGTCCCTGACTAAGGATTTACATAGTCGAATCAGAATTGTCAAGTCTTGCCTATAGTCGACTGATAGTCGAATTGTATGTGTTTGTGTGGCGGTGATTGCGGGGGATGGGGGGACTTATACACAGTAGCTCTGCTTCAATCTTGAGAAATTCCAGAGCTGCAGTCTTTTTCCATTAGTCAGTGTAACTTATACCGTTATATTTCTAGCTCAACTGAGGCTTATCGTAGACCATTATCACACTGATTGCCTGCCATTCACCGGTCTTGTGCGTTGAGTTTTGCCTGCATGCCGTGCGGCAAGTCACGGTTCCTCGTGGGTCTATTTCAAGTAGCTTACTATTTAAAAACTATATAATAATAATAATAATAATATTTATTAAAAATTTTTTTTTCCTTTTTACATATTTATATACAGCATTAAATGTTGAAATTTATATTGTAATATGCTGTACTTTAACTTATTGGAGAAAACAGGTACTTCTATGTAAAATCAGCTGTTGAGCACCAAAATGGCATGATCCTCGTTTTGCTGCGAAGCATCGACTGTGAGTTTGACAGTTGAATCAGGCTCTGCCCATCGAAGCATCGAATCTTTGAGTTTTGCATTCGTGCGTGCCTACATGTGCGTTGCACTTCCTCGCGGGTCTATTTCAAGTACTATTTAAAAACAATATAATATTCTTTGTGTAGTTTATCAATGGTGATAAATGATCAGAATGTCCCATGAGGTGGACAACTCTGTACAACACCTGCGAAGCTGGAGCTCCGTCTCTTCAGCAAATGTTCTTCTGCCACTATACACACACATAAAGCCCCACACATGCGCCCTAACCCACCTTCCTTAAGGGTTACGGTTACAATTTTGGATTTATTCACGCACTTTAAAAACATTTATTAAAAGCTTCTTTATTTTCACATTTTTATTTACAGCATTATATGTTGATTTATATTGTAATAGGCTATATATTAACTTAGTGGGAGAAAACTGGTATTTAAAATTGGACATTGAGCACCCCCATATCGCTAAAATGGTATGATCCTTATTTCAAAATGCAACTGCGAAGCTTCCAATGTGAGATTGACAGTCGAATCAGGCTCCGACCACCGAAGCATTGAATCTTGACTATTCAGAGTCAGCCATAGATTACACTATTGCATCCATTTATCCTCACAGCACCCCCCCCCCCCCTCTCTTTGTGTTTTTCTTTCTTTACCTCTTTCTCTACAAACACTTTCCACACATTTAGTAACACTAATGAAAAGAGAGCTTTAAAAAAGTTCCTCTGCGGGGAGAAAATGATAATTACTGATGGTGCAGAGGGCATGCAATGGCTCATATCAGAATACCAATACACCTCTTTGATCCCTTTTGCTATCCTGGCACTTAAGCCACCTTTCTACAGCTGCTGGTAGCAAGCTGAGTGAATCATATCACGGCCTGTGTTATTGCTGGAGGCAAAGGCATTTGGAAGAGACATGATAATTAGCCAAAGTCAACAGCTATCTTGAAGTTGTCCTCCCCTTGTCTTGTTCCCATGGCAAAAAATAAACCTTGTTAACCTCACCGTTAACCTGCATGGGTCATTAAAAAGCCAAGCATTGTTCAGACTGACACAAACTTTTTTTATGTTCTATCTCAACAACTTATTCTCATCTCAGTGTTGCTACAGACGCTTTCAGACAGCATGACAAAGTGTAATTATTTGACGCTAAAGGTACCCTTCAGCGTCCATATGAAACACCGCAGTTTACTACGTCACAGAAACACAAAGAACCTGTAGGGTTAGCCAGTCGACATGCATAAAATCCCTGACTTAGGCGCTAACATTTCTGATGGTTATGGTAAGTGTAGGGCGCTTCGGGGGGTTGTCAGTGCTTTTAACATGAACATAGCTAGCTTTTGGTCTGTATGAGACTCCCTGAAAAATTTCAGTGGGCAAGTGCGTACATGTGATTGGAGGAGGTAGTACCCATAGAGTCCAGTGGAGTGGAGTGGGTGGAGCCTGTGCTTATAGAACTAGGGTTACCTTATTATAACCTTCGTTTTTGTAAACATGTATGTATGTTTGGATATTTTACTGCTTCAGAGAAGGAGCCAGCAGATAAATTGGTGTACTGTATCTAAGACTCTCGGAAACTGTAGTTGTTGATTGCTAATCAATAATAGCTGTATTAGGTTTTGAAGCAAAAAGAGAAAATCCATGATAAAACACATTACTGAGTAGACATAAGGCAAAGATAAGAGAAGCTAGAAGTACTGCTCTTCTGATCTCTTTAGTACCTGTTTTGTTTTCACTAAAACACGTCACACACTCTGAAACTTTTTTTTATTTCAAGCACAATGAAAGAATGCTTCTTTGTCATTTTGTTCATGATGTGTTTCGTAATATTGCAAACTATAGTGGACAAACAGTACAGATGGAATTAAAGGCACTTAAGAATGACTGCAATAAACCAATTTTGCTTCATAGAAAATTTTATCTAAAAATGACCTCTTCTTGTCAGTGGTCTGGCTTTATTTAGCGTGCCAAATTTTGACGGGAATTTTGAGTGTTATGCCATTGGATCTTAAGTTATACCGAATAAGAGATAAAGTGGAAAGAGCAGACATCAGAGAAGAGAGAGTCACTGAACCTTGTTAACATACAGACACACACACCCATTCAAACACCACCTGTCTAGGCCTAAAGCTAGAGCAAGCTAGCACAGGGATGCTGTTTGTTCAGTGAAGCTGTCAGAAGCTTTGCTCCGCCCTACAGATGTGCACACAAATATGTGTGAGTGTGTTTGGGTGAGGGAGCTCCAGGGGGCCGCTGTGCAGAAACAGGGGTGCTGTAAGTTCAGTCCTTTCACGGAGATCAAAGTCGAGCTCCTGGCATTAATGATCTGATGTGAGCAGCTGGCTGGTTGCCACTGACCTGGCTAAAAGTTTTCATTTGGACTAAGATAGATGGCCTTATTTGGCCGTTCTCTGTTAGGGAGGCAAGCATGTTAGCAAACAGGACATCAGTGGAGTGGCTAACAGTGCAGTAAGCTGCGGACTCTCAGTACCACAAGGAACTTAATGTCGCTGCCAGTGTAAGGATCGTTTAACAGACAGGGATGCAATGATTACAGATTTTGTTTATTGTTACGATTATTGTCAGAGAAATAATCACGGTTTCACGATTATTATGCATTAATTAGTTTCACAACACTAGTAATGATTTAAGTTGATTTTTAACATTTAATTACATTAACAATTATATTAATAATACTTATGTATTATAGAAATATAAGAGGAATATTAACTTACCCCCCAGGGGAAATTGTTATAAAGGAGGGGAATAAACCTGTATAAACTGTCATCAGCTCTCATCTATACATATGTTTTAGTGAAAATGATAGAAATTGAGTTCATTGTTAACTGAAATGCAGTTAATTAGTAGCCTATAGTCCTGAATAGTGGCTCAACGCAGCAACAAACCACCCTGGCGTGGCGCAAGCCATTGAAAATAATGGGCCTCATAGCGCAGCGGGGCTGTCGTTGCGGTGGGTCTGAAAGGTTACACCTGCTTTGTTTGTTTACGTTGCACTGAAAGCTCGACTCTCACTGCTATGGCATTGATTGTAAGTGACACATTTATATTTAATTCCCTAC